TTCGGGTATTTGTTCGGGACAACCAGGCATGGCCGGCTGTCAAAATACGTTAGCCGCCAGACTGCTGTTCACAATACATAGAGTTCTGTGTTTTTTTTTAAAAACAGATCTCTGTGTGTGATTGGCCACAGCAGACCAGCTGACTTCAGCCAACATCATTTTCTGAAATCCGCTGCCAAACTTGTGCTGTTTTCAATTACAGTTTTCAGCCTGCTAACCGCCCCCCCCCCCCCCCCAAAAGAAAATTGGCGTATGACCAGCTTTAGTCATTAGGGAAATGTGAAGAACAGCATAGCAGAGCACCCAGCCTAAACTCCTCTTTCTTTGCTTTAACTCTAGTAACTGAAATCCTACTGGTTTACATATAAATCACTGACCTACACGAATAAATCCCATTCAGAAGTTTTAGGAATAGGATCACAAATTTGCTTTTTTTTTTTTTTTTTTTTGTTTAGGCATAATAAACATTTCAAGGGTGTTGTTTTTTAGGAAGTAAAGAGTGTTTGGGCCTGTAATTAAAATGCACTCAGTTTAAATTTAGTTGCAGAGAGACTTGTTTGATGTTGCCTTTTAATTTCCCATTTGACACTTCTTCCCTTAGGCTAAGTTTAGATGTGGTTGGAGGGTGGTAAAAATATACGTTTGAGACACATTTTTACTCCGCTGACCACCTTAAAGTGATTGTGAACCTCAGACATGAACTAAGAACTTGTCTCGGATAAGAGCAGTAAGTGTTTTTTTTTTCGGTCTGCTGCCCTGCTCCTCTGCTATCAGCATGAATTATTTCCGACATGTTTTCCTGACACCAAGAGAAAAATGGTGACAGGGAAAGGACTTCCAGCTGATTGGCAGCCTTGGTTCTGTTCCTGTGAACTGTGGGAAGGGGGGGGGGGGGTGTTTCTTCCCTCCAATCAGCTCTCAGAGCTCTCCCCACTGAACCTTGCAGAGTGTAAGTTTAGCTCTCCGCCCCCTTTTTCTGAAAACTCAGACAAGCTTTATAAATTCAGCACTGTGCGCAAATGAAGAGAAGAATGTAGATAGACAGGTACAGCTTATGTAGAACCACTTGAGCTTCAGAAGGTTTATCACCCTTCCTGAACGGAGCATATTTTTTTTTCATTTTTTTCACGCTATAGCTCTGTTTTGATGGTATTTGATAATCAAATGTTGTATTCACTGATAAACAAAAAAAAGCAAAAATGTTGAGATAAAAAAAAAAGCCCAATCCTTTCTGCATTCTGTTATAAACGTTATCCAATAAAAAAAAAAAAAAAAAATTCTTAAATTCAGGTCAGAGTGTATTCTGCTACATGTCCTTGGAGATAAAAAAAAAAAAAATCCTGATAAGTGTATATTATCTGCTTCCCCACCGTCCTATAGCACAAATACTGCTACAGGGCAGCGCAAAATCGCATATATAGCCATTGCCGGATATGACTGTCAATCACTTGGTCCTGGACGGAGATTCCTCGTCGGCACCCGGCGATCGCCGAAGAACACTGACAGAGGAGAGTGTAAACAGTACAGATCTCTCCCCTGTCAGCTTCAGCATGCTGCTTTATTTTGCTCTGCAGAGCAAATACAAAGCAGCCTGCTTGCACAGTAAATCACACACAGCAGACAGCTTCTTTTTTTTTTTTTTTTTTTTTATAAGCACTGATCACTGTATTAGTGTCACTGGGGATGTCAGTGGCAGTTAGTGTCAGTGTGAGAATGCTCGACGCAGTCTTGCTATAAGTCGCTGATTACCACCACTACTAGTATTAAAAAAAAAAAAAAAAAAAAATTCCAATATATACCATCATTTGTAGACACCATAACTTTCATGTAAACCGATTAATTTTTTTTTTTTTTAGCAAAAACATGTAGCAGAATACACTTTGGCCTAAATTTATTACAAAATTTGATTTTTTTTAAAAAAAAATTTTTTACTGGATATGTTTTATAGCAAAAAGTAATAAAAAATTTTTTTTCTTTCCAAAATTGTCGGTCTTTTTTTTGTTTATAGCGCAAAAAAAAAATTTCAGTCATGATCAAATACCACCGAAAGAGAGCTCTATTTGTGGGGAAAAAAGGATATAAATCTCATTTGGGTGCAGTGTTGCATGACCGTGCAATTGCCATTTAAAATAATGCAGCGCTGCATCGCAAAAAAAATGGCCTGGTCAGGAAGGGGGGTAAGTCCTTTGGAGGACAAGTGGGTAATTGGTTTTTTAGAAAGTTGCAGTGTCTACAAACTATGGTATATATTAATTGGAATTTACACATCTATGATGCTATACTAGTAATGGTCGTGATCAGCGACTTCTAGTGGAACTGTGATCGTGTGGCGGACAATTTGATGCTGGCTGGGAGGGAAACTAGCTGACACTGACATCAATAGTGACACTAATACAGTGATCAGTGCTAATACTGTATACTGTCACAAATACTAATGACACTGACTGGGAAGGGGTTAACATCTAGGGGCAATCAAAGGGTTAACTGTGTACCTAACAATGTGTATAATATGTGCTGCTTTTACTTAACTATCTGTCTGTTTTTTCTTCATGCTTTGCCAGATTGCTGTTCACAATACATAGAGTTCTGTGTTTTTTAAACACAGAACTCTGTGTGTGATTGGCCACAGCAGATCAGCTGACTAAAGCCAAAATCATTAGCTGAAATCCGCTGCCAAACTTGTACTGTTTCCAATTACAGTTTGGGTGGGGGGTGGGGGGGGTGCACAAACCCTGAAGAAAGACCGCAGTGTACCAGTATGTCGCCTGACCTGCAGCTGCCGCCCACTCACAGTACAGCGTGGGTGGCAATAGTTAAACTGCAATAGGCAATGATATGGGTGTTTACATACCGTGGTTGTAATGCTTCACTTCTTGTCTGTGGTAATATCTACCCAACATATAGTGATCTGCAGACGGCATGCCTGCTGAACACGACTCGTTTAAGCAAATGGGGTAGCACACACACGTGCCCTATGACTGTGCGCAATGCACAAGGCTGCAGCATGTTTGTTGCCAAAAGTCAAGTTAAAACAGGTGGTGAGGAGGCATCATGGTCCAAACACAGCTTGGGCTGCAGAAGACGGGCACATTTAGACTCGCGTCTTCATTTCTACAGGTTCTTGTGTTGTCCCCACTTAGCTGTGTAACCTTTGGGTCGTCTGCCTCTGTGTTTGTCTGGTGTGCAGCTGTTCCAAAGACTGCAGGAAATGACTAGAATATAGTCATAGTTACCATTGCAAAACACCAGTTAAAAAAAGTAGAGGAATGATAAAAATGTACCCTAGGATATTAGGGGAATTTATCAAAACTGGAGCAACCAGAATCGGGAGCAGCTGTTCATGGCAACCAATCAACTGCTAGCTTTCATTTTCAAAGCTTTTTGGTCTTTTCACACACCAGCGTTCTCTTCTGAATTCAGTTTTCATCACTTTTTCCATCAGTTTTTTTACATCCACTACCAATGCAAAAACGGATGCAGAAATAGACCGTTTGTCTGTTTACATCGGTTTTTTTAATGGTACGAAAATAGGACGCGTCGGATGTGAATGTAAACAGATGATCATCTGTTTTTCCATAGAAATGCATTGATGTCTGTTTTTCATCTGTCAATGGATAGATGAAAAACAGACAAAGGAAACTCCCGTGTAAAAGGGGCCTAAATGAACAAGCTGAAGATAGATGCTAATTGGTTGCCATGTACAGCTTCTCCAGGTTCTGTCTGCTCCGATGTATACACAGCTAGCTACAGGAGTGCATCTATCCCCCATGACTAGAAGTTTAAGCTGCCTTGGAAAATGCAGGAAAGCTATAAAAGAAAAGACAAGTGTGGGTGTTAGTCTGATGGAGTGCAGACTGTCCTAGGTAACTTTCACATGTGTTTCAGGCACTATGATCAAAAGAACAGATAGCTCTTGTCCCAATCTAAATCCATGCAGGGGTTGCTGAGCTGTGGTATCGGGTAGTTGGCCCAATCCATATGCCTAGCTTTCTAACAATACAGATCAACAAGTGACTGAGTGACAGCTTAGGAGATGGGGGGGTGTGAGAGGCAGTGCACAGAGCCCGCACTGCTCCCACACCCTTCTGATCTGACAGAACATTGCTTTGCTGTTTCCCCATCTCTCCTCTTTAGTTTATACATAATTCAGACTCGCAGCCTATTATTCAGAGCATTGAATGCGGAAACTGTCAGCTTGTCTGGTGAAAGATTGCCGCTCAAGAAGAGTGCTTTCATTTGCAAAAACAAAAGCAGACAACTGCACAAGCCTGGTACTACACTAGGCTGTCTCAGACTAGTGTAGTATCTGGTGTGTTCTCTTGTCAGCTTGTGTTTTTGTGAATGAAAGAGCTGCAGTCATTTATAATGCAAGCTGACAGTTTCCCACTTTCCACAGTCTGTACCCTGAATAACTTCACAAATCTGAGCCATTTAAGTTAGAGCATGCCTAAAGAAGATCACCAGAAGAAGTTTGTTAAATCCAACAGTGCAGGTCCAGACTCTGGACATTGAACAGGACAGATGCTGCAGAATGGAGACAGGGTGGCTAGCTGTAACTCCAGTACCTCACAGGAACACTCGTATTTTTAAGCTTCAAGTGGGATGGAGCTACAGCCAGCAATGACAGAAAAGAAAGATATACACTTTAACGTCCACTGCTTGGTTTTTATGTGTACAGGGACCTCTGTTGGATTTGACAAGCTTCTTCTGGTGATCTTCTGTAGGTTCTAATTTTAAATGGCTCAGATTTGTGAAGTATTATTGTAAGCTTGTACTGGATAACTTGTCACTTGAGTTTAGAATAGGTTTTTATGGCTAATTAAGTATTGGTTACAAAAATGCAACAGATTAATAATCTGCTATTCAGTCGAAATCTGCTGCTGAACTTTGCACAATCTCATTCACTTGGAAGAGAAGATGACCATATTTTGAAACCTTTATCTTTTCAGGGTTACACGTCCTTCTGGAATGACTGCATCTCTGCTGGGCTGCGTGGGTGCATGTTAATTGAACTAGCCTTTCGAGGTAGAGTTGCCCTGGAAGCTGGTGGAATGAGGCGTAAAAGTCTCTTGTCAAGGAAGGTATAAAAGATTTTTGTTTCTTAGACTCTTATGAACAGTGTTGCATGCTCTCTTTTGTTTCCTAACAAGCCCTGAGAAATTCCAATTTCTACATATTGCTTAAAATAACATCTTTTATAGTTCAGTTTAAAAAAATGAACTCAAAGCTGAAGCTCTGCTTCTTTTCCTCCCCCCCCCCCCCTCCACTGCCTTTTGGGGGGGAGCAGATACCTGTTTTTGGCACAGTGAACTGAGCCGGAAGTTCGGCCCCCTCCTTCCTCCCGCAGTCTCATAGGAACCTTCACAGGTCCCAGAAGACTGCCGGACCAATGAGAATGCGCAGCGCGACTCTTGCATGCGCAGTGGGCACCTGGCAGTGATGCTGCAAGCGGTCACAGCCTGGTGCCCACAATTGTGATGCCGGCTCCAAGGATAGAAGAGGCGAAGAAGGGACGGGTGCAGGTGATCACGTTGCTGGACCCTGGGATAGGTGAGTGTGTTTTTTTTTAAGTCAGTAGCTACTGACTTTTAATAAACACAAAACTGACTGGAACTCTGCTTTACAAATCTGGGTTAAAGCGGAGTTCCACTCACTCTGTAAAAAAATAAGTCAGCAGCTACAAAAAACTGTGGCTGCCGACTTTTAAAAAAACAGCCACTCACCTGTCCCACGATCCCGCGTTGCCCCCGCCTCAGCCCGTATTCCAGGAGGCCGGCATCTTCAGTGTGGGCACCTGGCCGAGACAGCTTGCGGCTTCCCAGCTGGGTGCCCACTGCGCATGCGCGAGTAGCACTGCGCTACCTGATTTGCCCCGTCATCTTCTGGGACTTGTCATGTGTCCCACAAGACTTCGGGGACGGAGGATAGGAGGACAATTTTTCTGTTTCCAATCGCCTAGGCGTTCGCAGCGGAAGTGGGCGTGGGTACCTGTCAAATTCGGGTACCCATTCCCCCCCCGCTCCCCAAAGGTGTCAATCCTTAATGGGGAGCGGGGGACCAATCTTTAAAGCGTAACTTCCCCTTTTGGGTAGAACTCCACTTTAAGCAAACATTGTTCAAATACAATAGCCATGTATACTCTGATCAGCCATAACATTATGACCACCCACCTTAACTTGTTGGACTCCACTAGACCTCTGAAGGTATGCTTGCTGTGCTGTGAGGCACCAACCTGTTAGTAGCAGATCCTTTAAGTCCTGTAAGTTGCAAGGCGGGGCCTCCATGGATTGGACTTGTTTTTCAGCACATCCCACAGATGTTCAACTGGATCAAGATATAGGGGGGGTTAAGTCAAAACCTCAAAAGCGTTGTTGTGTTGCTCAAACCAACACCATTCTTGAATTAATCAGACCAGGCCACCTTCCACTGCTCTGCGGTCCTTCTGATGCTTATGTGCCTATTGTAGGCACTTCTGTCAGTGGACTCTGGTCAGCATGGGCACCCTGCATGGTCAGCGGCAATGCAGCACCATACACAACAAACCGCGATGTTCTGTGTATTCTGACACCTTTCTGTCTGAACCAGCATTAACTTTTCAGCAATTTGATCTACAGTAGCTCTTCTATTGGATCAAACGACATGGGCCAGCCTTCATTCCCTGTGTCCATCTGTTGTCTTGACTGCCCATGCCCTGTCGCTAGTTCACTGTTTTTTTTTTCTGCCTTTGACCACTTTTGGTCAGTTCTGACCAATGTAGACTAGAAAAATCCTACAAGAGCTGCAGTTACGGAGTTGCTCTTACCCAGTCATCTATCCATTATAATTTGGCCCTCCACAAATCCCTACGCTTGCCCAGGTTTTCTGCTTTCAGCGCATCAGTTTCAGGGACAACATGTTCACTTTCTGCCTAATATATCCCACCCACTTTCAGATGCTTTATCACAAGATAATACATTTTCTTTACTTTACCTGTCAGTGGTTATAATGTTATTGCTGATTGATGTATTCATTATTGAATGCTGGTGCCTTTTGTGTATTTTCCAGATCTGTGTAGTGATCCAACATGAAACCATTACCGTACTTTGCCTCTTTGAAGGAGATTCCTCTAATGAAGGCCAATCACTCCTGCTATATATAAAATCTGTGCTAATGAGATCATTGTCAATAGACATTTAAAGCTGAACTTCAGGCATATAGTTACTTATGTAAGGATTTATATTTCTGTCCATCCAGTTCTGAAATTTTGCATAGTCCAATGGATGCCTCTACTTTCTTTAGAAATACATTGGTGTCATCTCCCACCCCTAGTGTGTTGACTGGTCAAAGACAGAGCAACAACAGACAAGTGAGGTCATCTCTCTGATCTCTTCTATCTGCATATTGCTTGTCAACATATTTAGATTCAAAACACCTGATCGGTTCCTAATTCTTCCTCTCTCTCCCCTATTTGAATGTTACTGTGTAGGGAACTGAACCATCAGGTCAAAATAAATGTACTTACACCAGCTGTAAGAAAAGAAAAAAAAAAAAAAGCTGCAATGTTTGTCTTTCATCTGCCTGGAATTCAGATTTAAATTCCTCCATAGTACAGAGATTGAATCACCTGCGTAGCCGTAGTCCAAGCCTTTGCTGTAAAGGTTATTCGCTCTTGCCTAGAGATGTTAGTCATGGTCCAGTTCCAGATTTGACCAAAAGGTTGCACCTTTTATTAACCACTTGCTCTCCTGAGGATTTACCCCCCTTCCTGCCCAGGCCATTATTTGCGTTACGGCGCTGTGGTACTTTAACTGAAAATTGTGCAGTCATGCCATGCTGCACCCAAATTAAATTTGCATTCTTCCCCCAACCCCCCCACAAATTAAGTTTTTTTTTCGGTGGTATTTGATAGCTTGTGTGGGTTTTTTTGAGCTAAAAAAAGACCTTCAATTTTGAGAAAAAAATATTGACTTTTTGATATTAAACATGTCCAGTAAAAAAATCAAATTTCATCATAAATTTACACCAAAATGTATTCTGCTACATGTCCTTGCTACAAAAAAATCTCGATATGTGTAAATTAATTAGTTTACGTGAAAGTTGTCGTGTTTACAAATGGCGGTATATATACTGGGATTTTTTTTTTTTTTTTTTACTAGCAATGGCGACGATCAGCAACTTATAGCGGAACTGCGGCGGACACCAACACTTGGGGGGAACTGACATCCCCAGTGACACCAATACAGTGATCAGTCCTAAAAAAAAAAAGCACTGACACCATACTAATAGCGCTGGGCAGGAAGGGGTTAACATGAGGGCAATCAAAGGGTTAACTATGTGCTGGGAGTGTTTTACTAGGGGGCGGTGTGTTGGCGCTTCACTGTAATCACATTGCTTTGGATGGCTGTTCCGTGCACAGCCATCCAAAGTAGTGTGCCCGAGCTGACAGGGAGGAGAACTGTTAGTAAACAAAACGGTCCTCCTCCCCGTGATCCTTGGAAATCACCAGGCGCTGGTGAGTAATCACAGGACCCAGTGTTTGACAGCCATGGCCACGAACGCCGTGCGGGTAGGGCTTGCGCTCAGCTAGCGCACGCCCCCTACATGGCAATGCAAAATCACGTGTGTAACATATATATATATATATATATATATATATATATATATAGTGTAATTTTGCGCACCCCTGCCACCCTGTAGCACTATTTCTGCTACAGGGCAGTCGGGAAGCGGTTAAAGAGTACTAGATTCCTTATTTGTGTTTTTTAGATAGTGGGACTGCACAAGCAAGGCTAAGTTTTTGAAATTCCCTTTAACCCTTTTGCGGCCAGGATCATACATCAAACAGTTCTGACGGGGGGAGGGGTTACACACACAGCCACTGAGATTGTGTGTAAAAGATTCAAGCAGACTTCTGTCTGTCAGATGGAAGCATTGCTCCCACACATCCCCTGGTAACGGCACAACCCCACCTCCCTCCACAGGCATAGCAGGTGCCGCCAGGTAGAGGGGAAGGAGCAGACACACATTCACTCCTCTGCACTCCTTGTTGCTGACCTGGAAAGCAACGTGTGAGATGTCACTTCTGGGTCCGTGTAACATAACTACCCCTGTTTTATTCTCTAGGGCAGTGGTTCTCAACCTGTGGGTCGCGACCCCTTTGGGGTCCCCTAAGACCATCAGAAAACACATTTCCGATGTGTAAAGAGCAGCTACTGTGTAGAAAGCAGCTACTCTGTTAAAAGCAGCTACTGTGTTGAAAGCAGCAGTATTGGAGGTAAAACGACACTCATGAATTATAATTACTGGGTAAATCATTTTATGGTTGGGGGGTCACCACAACATGAGGAACTGTATTAAAGGGTCACGGCATTAGGAAGGTTGAGAACCACTGCTCTAGGGTGTCTGTCTTTCAGAAAATATATACTGTTTTGGGGGTTTTGTGTAATCTTCAGGTCTAAAATCCCTTTTTTTAAGCACGTGTGCAAAAAATCCAAAAACATCTCAGGCAGCGAAGGGGTTAAAGGAACTCTTGTTGGTTGCGATTGTGGCTGTTTACAGTTAGCGTGGTTAATAAAATGTGTCTTCGTTTTCATAGGTTATCTGCAAATCTGATGCTCCAACAGGAGATGTCATGCTGGATGAAGCCTTAAAACATATAAAAGAAACTCCGACCCCAGAGACTGTACAGAGCTGGATTGAACTTCTTAGTGGTATGTTTGTGAACCCAGCATTAGGGGTTAAATGTCTGCAACACAAAGTTCAGTCTCATGCACTGGATGGTGCTGTGATCCTGTCATATACTATGTGTGTTTATGAGCAAATTGTTTGCTAGTGTTTTAATGATTCACAGGGTACTAGAAAACCCACCCTATCTACTCCCTCTATTGCATTTCTCTTAGCAAGAACATATCCTCAGACTTTACAAAGGAAGAGGCACTCTCAGCAACAACACCTTCAATGGATTGGACTACAAGCTAGCTGCCTTGTTATTGGTTGTATTTGATTTCAGAAGCTCTTCATTTTAAAACATCCTGACATTTATTAAATTGGACTTGCTCTTTAATGGAACTAAGAAGTTTTGAAATATCTGGGTATCAGGCACATCTTTGCTTCTTAGATAAGTGGATTGTTCTGCTAGACCCCACACACACTTGTTTATAATCCAGTTTAGTGAAATTATGTGAATTTGTGATCATTTAAAACTGTCAGGAATGGACTTTAGTAGAGGAAAGTGAACAATAGTGCTGGACTGGTAAGCTTCTCTTGTTGGTATTCTTATCTTTAATGTTGTAAATAGTCTGGTTCCTGGGCAGACAGCTTCTGCACACAAGAGGATCTCCACAATCTCCTCAGCTTGTAGTGCAATGTAGAAAAAATGGAAATTGCAGCACCACACGACTGCTAACAGGTCCAGACACAACTTGGCCCCTCTTTGGATTGTCCACTCGACTTTTTTTGGAATACGGTTATTTCTGGACCTTTATAAAACCTGTTTCTGTAACAAAGTGGTTGCAAACCCTTACATATATCTGGCGAAGTGCCTGGCCTCAGGTGATACACACAGAAATGAAACAAATCCTGCTAAATAAGTTGTACTTGTTTATCTGCAGCTCTTTCTCCTCTACAGCCTTCTCAAGCATACATTTACAAAGCATTTCTGATTGTCAGGAGGTAGGGATCTGATGTCACACACTGCACAGCATGGAGATGAGAGCAGAGTGTAATCTGAGACCTGAGTGGAGGGAATGGACCCCCCCACACACACACACACACATTTGAACAGCCGAGGCTGTCAATCACAGGCTGTGTACTGGGCTCCCATTCTGGAATCTGCATCACCTGTCAGGAGTGACTCATGGAGATAACAGGAATGAGAGAGGAGACAGAAATCACACAGGTGCTTTGGATTAAAGCAAGTACGCACTGTAGAAGGCATATGCCTTGTTCATTTCAGAGGTTTACAACCACTTTATTCCAATAAGACTCCATTTGGTTTCAGTCAGGCATGAAAGGGTATGTTATTGCATGGCCCTGGAATTAAGATTCATATTGCATATATTTTTTTATTTATATTTCAGGTGAGACCTGGAACCCTCTGAAGCTCCACTTCCAGTTACGAAACGTGCGGGAACGTTTAGCTAAAAATCTTGTAGAAAAAGGTGTCCTGACAACTGAGAAGCAAAACTTCCTCCTGTTTGATATGACCACGCACCCACTCACCAACAACAACATCAAACAGCGTCTTATCAAGAAGGTACAGGAAGCCGTGCTTGACAAGTGGGTGAAGGATCCCCACCGCATGGATAAACGTTTGCTGGCCCTCATCTATTTAGCTCATTCTTCTGACGTCATCGAAAATGCCTTTGCCCCACTCTTGGACGACCAATACGAGCTGGCCATGAAGAGAGTCCGGCAGCTGCTCGACTTAGATCCGGAAGTAGAGGCCGCAAAGCCAAACGCTAATGAAATCCTATGGGCCGTGGTGGCCACCTTCACAAAATAAACCTAGTGGACTGGAGTGTTCATTCTACGTCAAACCAGTTGTCTCTGCTTGACATTTTTTTCTTTTTCAGTAAATTTACCTTTGCTTGTTTTGACTGGTCGCAGAAAGACGTTGAATTGTATGCAGGACCTGGGCTGGTTCAAGACAGCTTGATGAGAGATTTCAAATACTTATTGCCATATTGGCATCACACTACTCCTTAAATCTGTGCATCTCAAAACGTGGCTTAAGGTTACCTAGAAGGCCTAGATCAGTTGTGATGGAGATGGACACACTAGGATGCACATTGGGTTTTGTTTGCCTCAAGTTCCTCTAAATATTCCCACAAGATGGTTTACAAATTAGCAGAATTGTCACGAAAGGGCCTTTTAGTCACCAAAGTTCAAATAGCTCTGTCCATTTCTCCACTTTTTACACACCTAAAATTTTGTTTGTTTTAATTTTTTTTTTCTTGTCATATTTTTTTTTTTTAAGCTGCTGTGCTCATGCTTTTTTTTTTCTTGTAAATTTGTCAATCAAAATTTTAAATCTTTACGTATTTAGTGTAAATGATCCCATGGTCTCTGGAAGCCATTTTTGGGATGGGGAAAACATTCCATTAAATTGTGTACATAGTTCCAGTTGTATAGTTGAAGAAATTCCTAAGTATTTTGGTGGTATATCTAACGTCAAACCCAGTCTCCGATACATTTCAGGCTCTGATTTTCTCAGGGCTAAAAGTGAGAACATGCAGTGAACTGTGACCCACATTTGTTGTGGCACATGTACCATTATTTTTTAAATGTTTGGCATGTACCCGTGGCTTGGTTGTCCTCCACTGTTTTTTTTTTTTTTTTTTTTAAATGTGAATTTTTTGCAATTGCTATTCTTGGGTACATTATTTATGTTAAAGGATCAATTCACCTAGTACTGATATTTCAAATTTTGCTGCAGGTCTGCATCCATCAAAAATTCTTGGCAGCAGGATCTCTGTATGAATTCAGATTTTCACTTGATTACTGCACGAAAAAGGAATTTTACTCTTCCTGATGTATTTTCCTTTTAGGTTATTAAAGCGGTCCTTCAGCTTACCCCGACCTCATTTTTTTTTTTTTTTTCCTACCTTTTGCTTAATTTGTGGTGCTCTAAGCAAAGTGTGGATACTCACCCAGCCCACCATATCCAACGTTGACCCGCTGACATCCTTCTGTCAAGACATCGCTGGTTCCATGCGCCATGTTGCTTGCAATGTCATCTCAATACCCGCTGGCTCTTCCAGGTTCAGCCGTCGGGGGTCTCGTGATGACTTGCTGCTAGATCCACCCGTTTCCAGCCTAGTGAACGAATGACTAAAGGCCTCTTGGGATATGTGACGTGAATGTTCCAGGAGGACCAGCGAGCCTTGTGCGCATCATTTGTCGAGGCAAATGACGAGCATTCTGGGGCAGGGCCAAGCTTTTTCTACAAAAAATGAAAAAAAAAAAAAAAAAAAAACAACTCACTATTCATGTATGGGGTAGGAGGGTTGGAGCGGGGACAACATATGAAAACGGCTGAAGTTCCGCTTTAAGATTGCAGTAGAAAGGGATTCTACCTCTGAATCAGGAGGAGTGAAACTGTATGCACTTAGGCTGCTCATACATTATATAGTTTTCTTATCCAGTTTCCTTTAGATCCTTTAGAACTATGTAGTGCAAGGTCCTGCCTGATTGCATAGAAATTGAAAGTGTTTAGGTTTGATCTTGTATTATATGGTTTTGGTATATCTAAAGGAAAAAAATTGTACATGAAAACTATGTGATGTATGGCCAACCTAATGCTGGAACTCTGGATGACTAATTTCTGCCGTTATCTCTGGAAATCTGTTATCAGCCATTTGTTCAATGATAAAGCTGCCTGTTCTTTAATGTACTATACATTATGCAAATAAAGCAGAGACATTGAGAGGGAGCCGCCTTTTGGGGAGACCCTGTGGCATCGTAGGCGGGAGCTCCAGATGCCAGAATTCAGTTTAAACCCATCAGAGTCTACCTGTAACGGAAATATCAGTGTTTGGTGCAGTGATTCTTTATTTGTTTTCACGTAGGTCAGCGCGTTTCCCAGATACTGTCTTTTGTAGAAGCATAAACGCAATCAAGACTGTCGTTCTAAAACAATAGTTGCACGAGCTCATTTGCAGCTACAGGTTTTCTGCAACAAAGAGACAAAACAGGAAACCGCTAATTTCTTTTTTTTTTTTTTAATTATTATATATGTATGTGAAATTATGTGGCTTAGCACATTAATGTTTGAGCGCTGTTTGCCTGTCATTGCTTCCATAGTTGTTCATAGAATGGATTGATGCTTCATGGGCAGTCTCATCCCCTGCTGCAAGTGGGACCTGTACACACAGTGGTGTCAGGAGAGGTGCAGGAAAGGGGGCGTGGCATGCGGCTTTGTTAGAGGTGGAACAGTAAATGAAAGCGACAGAAATGAGGTGGTAACAATCGTTGCAGTTATCAGATTCCCTCTGTATACTAGCTTTTTATTATACAGTTAATAAACTATGATCTTTAAAGTGCCTGAAATAGGTGTTCATGGATTTTTTTTTTTTTTTAATTTGTGCTAAATTTGTTAACAAAATTAATCTGAGTCGATAATGGCTTACAGGAGAATGGTAGATGTATTAACATGGACACACATTTTTAGTTATTTTAATTGTTATTTGTAAGGAAACGTTCAGTCTTGCTCACCAGCTATTCTGTATTTTGAATGTTTAACTTACCAACTTATACATATGATAATGAGGGGAGCATTTGCATCTGGAAATGTGACCGTCATTTCCAGAACAGATCTGAAGTTGTTCAGCTCCTCCTTTTCGAATTCTTGCTCTGTGTTTACGTGAGAGGTTAGATGGATGGAATGCTGCTGTTTTACGGCTGGGAGGAAGAAACTGAGCTGGTGAGTCATTGCTGGATTTGGGGGTGGGTTGAGTTGAGCTTCTAAGATGATAACCTCCCTAGCGGTCTGATTATGTCCATATTTCTGTGCTCAAAGCGGTACATTTTTTTGCATGGAAATATGTATTTTTTTTTATTGTAGGCCTGTAATTTTTAGGAATAACTCACTGAAATCTGTCCGAACAAGAGTCTAGTAAACATCCCGGGTATGATAAAATTTGAAACACGAAATCATAAATTATAATATAATAAATCATAAAAAATAATATAATTAATTCAATAATGTAATCAAACCAAAAACACTGAAATTTGAAATATAGCGTCAAGTTCGCACATCACTGAGCAGAGTCGCAAAATCGGTTTCAGTGTCTGATAACGATTTTCCCCACGAATCATCACTCAATTCTGCAAGTGGTTCTGATTTACTATCGCTGTTCTCTAGCTGGTCTAAAACCGATTTTGACCTAACGGGAAGCTTTTTGGACGCCATGGACGTTTCTCAGTTTTCAGGCAGAAAGAACGGTAAAAATGCAGGCAGGGCACAGGACAAAGCACTCGGGACAAAATGTATGTGAAATGGTTTGATACAGGAATGTTATACTATGTGATTTTAGTGTATTTAGTGTGTCAATTTTTGTCATTTTCAAATTTCCCACCAGTTCCGTCCCCGTACATCCTGACGCTCGCAGGGGACGGAACCCAGATGACAGATGCCGGCATCCGCCGGAGGACATTACAGGGGACACTGCAGGAGGGACATCGCGGGAGTGCAGGACAAGGTAAGTGAAGAACAGATCCCGGAGCAGTGCCGCATGGTAAGCCCGAGTGTAGCTCGGGGTTACCGCTTGTGGTACTGAAACTTTACCCTGAGCTACCATTGGGAATACTGCCAGGGAGGCTACAGGAGACATATAGCCAAAGCTAATTTAGCCTTACTTTTCCTATGTAGAGATGGGAAGGCCTTGAAAAACTGGGGGAAAAAAAGTTTTTTGTATTTTTTTCCAAAGTCTTTTGTTTTTATTTCTGGAAAGATTGGCATGGTTTCCAACTATATAACGACATTAAGGAAAGATGTAAAGTCTTAAACTATTTCACATTCTCTCAGCTGAAGACAGGAAAATCCTGGAATATAATCCAAGTAACACTGTACTTCTCAGTGCAGCTCTCATGCAAGAGAAATATGCATTTCTGCCACTAGGGTGCACTGCAGGTGAAAGGCTCCACTTTAGTTTGCTTTTGGCCTTCATGTTCTACCTCCCACAGTTGGATGATTGTTGGGATACAGTAGATAAGTTTCTGTCCTCCTCTCAGGCCTTCATTGACAGGTAAGAGGGTAAATTTGTCTGACAAATTAGTTTATCTTTATAAACCTTAAATAATTCCTATTAATGTTCTCCACCATCACAGCATAATGTTTCCCTATAGTCTGGTCAGTAAATTGTTTTTTTATTTCCCCCCCTCACAGTAACATGGCGAGACCAACATCTAGTGTTTGGAAACATTTACACAGTGCAGTTTCTGCTGAAAGCTATTTGCAAATATTGTGAGAAGAAATATTATCTTCCAAATACTACAAGGATACTTTATGGAAATTAAATGATAAGGATTGTAATGAACATGCAAGTAGCTTTTCCCTCCAGAGTTCTCATTCCAGCTGCTGTCTGCTGCTTCTGGATCATACCAGATTTTAAAAAGCAAGTTTAGTTTATTCACTGAATAGGTTGTACATTTATTTCAAGCATAATACTTTTATATACACTGTATTTCACTTCCCCAGTTTAACAAAGTTACGTTAGATTTTTAAAACTACTCCAAACTGAATCTCTTGTCAATTTGAAAACTTCCATTTTTTCCAGAAAGAAAACGGGAAAAATGTTATTTCCCATGGCATCAAAATTGACAAAACTGCACTCCTGTGACCCGTTTTTAGCCGACATCAGGCTGAAGTCTCTTGGCCAGTCCAGGCTCTGGAAAGATCCCAATTTTAATGTTGGGATCCATCCAGATGCATGGACCATCAGCTGGCTTATCCTCTCAATGAGCCGCTGAGACCTAAGCCAGCAGCTCCTGTCCCCTGCACAGGCCAGCACAGTGGTTCTTGGGGCAGAGCTGGCAGGTAACAGATGCTGCATCCACCTAGGTGAGTATAAATTTGTTTTTGTTTTTTTTTTTTGTTTTGTTTTTTTTTTAAACCCCATACTTCAGGTCTTCTGCAGTGAATCTGAGCATGAGTTGTACCTGCAACTACATGGCATTGAGATTTTAACTGATCATTTACGCTGCTAAAGCTGTTATCTGGGTATAACAAAACAAAAATAGACAACATGCTTTCCCCAACTTCATTCATGGATCACAAGCTCCTTTTTTAACTAGAATTCATCAGGAAATTTTTCTTCCTACTGACTTATAGCGGTAACCTTTTCCCCTGACAGTGGGGGGTTTTCTACACAATCTGGTGGCTGCAACTTCTTGGATTGTGTCTAAAATTGACAAGCAGACTCCCCTGCCTATCAGGTGGAAGCAGTCGGGTGGCTGCACTACCACCCGAACACACACACACACACACACACACACACACACACACACACACACACACACACACACACACACACACACACACACACTTTGAACCCTACGTGATGGGAAAAAAAATTAAGTAAAAAAAAGTTACAGCAAGCACATAACATCACCCCCCCACATGCATGCATGTATGAATGTAAATGCACACAGGGTGCCTATACATGAAAGTGTTGATTGCGGTACACGGTAAATGTTGCTGCGCACGCTGGAATGAGAGCAGCAATTTTAGCACAAGACCTCCGCCATAATGCAAAATTGATGACCTATCAGTGCTTTTAGAGCGTCGCCTATATAAAATATAGGGTACTGAAGTTTGTTGCCATTTCATAGGCACACACAGATTTAGGGTTTGGCATGTTGGGTATCTATTTACTCATTACAACCTTGTCTTTTATATTTTACCAAAAATTTGGGTAATTTATTTTGTTTGCCCTAAAAATTCACTTAAGTGTGTGTTTTTTTTTTTTTTATTTTTAACTGAAATTTTGCATTTCCTAGACCTTTACGGTAATATTTTGTGACATAAAAAATTGGAACTACCACTATTTTTTTCTCTGGGGTGTCTGCTTTCAGAAAAATCTGTTTTGGGGGTTTGTGTACTCTTTGGGCCTAATGTGATTTTTTTTAAAATGTGTGCAAAAAAACCGCAAAACTGCCACTGGCAGAGAGGTTTAAAGGAAACTGATCATGACTGAAATATGAAAGCTGTCATTTGATAATGTATCATTTAGAAAATGCTAGTTGCCTAGCAGTTATGCTGACTTTACTTATGCAGTATTTTTTTTTTTTTAGGACTCTTGGCTTTGTTCTGACTTTCTTAATCAATATGTTACTCCAACATTTCATATTACTGATGTGTCTGTTGTACCATGTACCTGTTTTAAAAATTATCCTGTCTGTATTGCTTCCTTTCTGTGAAATACCTGCTTTCTGATTTTAACACTGACCACTCTAGGCATAGAAGCACATCCTTCGTTGTGTGGTCAGTTTTATAGCTGTGCTGGGGAAACAGCCTGCCTCTCCTCCAATGGCCAAGACTTGTGTTGATGTACCCCTGTCTACAGCATCCTGGGATATTTGCCATGTTGTTTCAGGGAGACATGGGAGCAATCTCTATTATACTACACCTCACTTGCACTGTAACATATCATCAGCAAGAACTGAAGACAGCCCACTGATGTCATATGAGAAAATGATGGTGGCGTGGTACTTGGCAGCTGTGATCTACACCAGACATTCCTAGATTTGCTTGATGTCTTAAGTTTTTTGTGTTCCAAGGACATTCCAGTGGCAAACACTGGCTAAACAATGAACCGTGTACTCAATATTCCAATCAGCTTTACAAATGCAATGTTTTTTTTTCTTCTGGTAGCAATGTAGTTATTATCTATGCTGATCGGATCCAGTATTTCCCATCCTTTTTAAACCTCAACATTCATGCCAAGCTACATATACACGGGTTGGGACAAACCATACAACATTTCTGAGGGTGTGTACAATGCTCACATTTTATTCATGTGGTTTAAACCTTTCCTAAGGAAATATAAACCTGATGCATACAAAGTGTTGGGTTATGTGGAGTTGGTCTGTAATTGGTCACGTAGTCTGGACTCCAAGCAGATCTAAAAGACACAAATGAATGCATCTGTAATTATTTATACTTCAGTAAAAATATTTTTAAACAAAAGCAGTGTAAGTACCTTAATTTGACCTGGTATTGCCCTCTTGTAGTCCCTGTAAAGCAGGGCTGGGGTGTGCAAAGAAGAAGCAGAACAAGGCTTCCGATCAGCTCGTGTTGAGAAGCATGCTGATAGGTAGAGGAAGAGTGGAAGAGAGGAGCATGTTCCTGTGCTGCTTCTCCCTTTCAACGTCCAGTCACAGGTTTGTCCAGGATGATCCGGGTTCAGGGACAAATGGGTCGAATGATGCTGGCCATGACACTGAGGAAAAGACAAAGTACTGTGAGCAAAATCTCTGAAGTAAGCCTAGATATTGCAGCAAAAGATGGTTTAGTTATTTTTTTTTTTTTTTGGCTGAAATTCTTTAAATTCAATTTAAAATGCCATGTTCATCTGGGTGCATAGGGTGACAATGCTGCAGCATGCTGACTTCAGAGAAGGACAAGAGGTGCCTAGGATGGGAATACTCTGGGCTCAGAGGACAGGCCGAAGTGCAGTGCAACAAACTGGAAATGTCTGCCACTGAAAGCACACGAGGTGTTGATGAGGTGGAGAAAATGGGAATATGCAGATAGGCATCTTGGATGTCTGTGGAGACAGATATTTTTTGTCTTGGTGGGGGGTGGTGGAAGAAGAGATGGTTCTGAGCTTTTTACAAAACCGACTTTCCTTAAACAGTTTTTGGTTGGTTTTGAGAGAAAAAAATTCAAAACTTCACTTCCTCACCATTTTCTTATTTTGTACCCCATGAAAAACTGTCCAGTCCTGTGACCCAGAGAGGCTAACAAAAAAGAAACATTGAAAATTATAGTGATCCCTTACAATGGTGGCCTTTACTGCACCAATGCCACAAAAAACGTCTGCTTATAGTATTCTGACAACACCCTAACATGCTTCGCCGGGCTTTTTTGGGGCATTGGTGCAGTAAAGGCTTCTTTGTGGCAACTTGACCATGTAGCTCATTTTTGTTCAAGTATTGTACTGTGCTCCTTTAAACAACCTCCTTTTCCAGAGAAGCCTGTATTTCTCCTGGTTACCTGTGGGTTTTTCCTTGTATCTATTATAATTCTGGCAGTTGTGACTTTCTTGGTCTACCTGACCTTGGCTTCGTAGCAAGAGATCTCCAAATTTTTCACTTAACAAGTGATTGAACAGTACTGACTGGCCTATTCAAGGCTTTGGATATCTTTTTATGTCCTGTTTCATCTTTATAAAGTTCCATTACCTTGTTACACAGGTCTTTTGCCAGTTCTTTTCTGCCCCCCATGGCTCTGTATTCAGCCTGCTCACTGAAGCCATATGAGAGTTGCAAACTCATTGACTATTTACACACTTTAAAAAGTGGGAAATTAACCTTTAATTGCCATTTTAACCTGTGTGTGTGTGTCACCTTGTGTGTCTGTACCAAGGCCAAACTTCCAGGGGAGGGAAACTTTTGATCAGGGCAGTTTGAGTGATTTCTGTTATAATTTAAGTATTACTAAACCCAGGACCCTGCATTCCCTATTTTCTGGTCTCCCCGGACCCTGCATTCCCTATATCTGGTCTCCCCGGACCCCGCATGCATTCACTATATCTGGTCTCCCACAGTACACACAACATGGAAATGCAATTATTTTAGTAAATATAAACAGCTAAA